CGGACGGACGGGCGGCAACGGACGGGCGGCACGGACGGCGGACGGGGACGGGCGGACGGACGGACGCGGACGACCGGGCGGACGGACGGGCGGACGGACGGGCGGGTGGCGGACGGGCGCGCTGCGGACGGGCGGGCGGACGGGCGGGCGGAACGGGCGGGCGGCACGGGCGGGCGGACGGGCGGGCGGACGGGCGGGGCGGACGGGCGGGCGGACGGGCGGGCGGACGGGCGGGCGGATGGACGACGGGGTGGGCGGATGGACGGAAGGAAGGGCGGACGACGGACCGGGGGGCGGGCGACGGGCTGGCGGCGGAACGGATGGCGGCGGACGGTCAGGCGGACGGGTGGCGGACGGGTGGACGGACGGGTGGACGGACGGGTGGACGGGACGGAGGGCGGACGGCGATGGCGGAACGGAGGGCGGAACGGAGTGGGACGGGAAGTGCGGACGGGGAGTGCGGACGGGAGTGCGGACGGGAGTGCGGCGGGAGTGCGGAGGGAGTGGGACGGGAGTGCGGACGGGAGTGGGGACGGGGAGTGCGGACCGGGAGTGCGGGACCGGGGAGTGGCGGACAGGGAGTGCGGACGGGAGTGCGGACGGGAGTGCGGACGCGGGTGCGGACGGTAAGTGCGGACGGGAGTGCGGACGGGAGTGCCGGACGGGATGCGGGAACGGGAGTGGCGGACGGGAGTGCGGACCGGGAGTGCGGACGGGAGTGCGGACGGGAGTGCGGACGGGGAGTGCGGACGGGCAGTGCGGACGGAGTGCGGGACGGGAGTGCGGACGGGAGTGCGTGACGGGAGTGCGGACGGGAGTGCGGACGGGGAGTGCGGGACGGAGTTGCGGGACGGGGAGGCGGACGGGAAGTGCGGACGGGGAGTGCGGACGGGAGTGCGGACGGGAGTGCGACGGAGTGGCGGAACGGGAGTGCGGACGGGAGTGCGGACGGGATGCGGACGGGAGTCGCGGACGGGAGTGCCGGACGGGAGTGCGGACGGGAGTGCGGACGGAGTGCGGACGGGAAGTGCGGACGGGAGTGCGGACGGGAGTGCGGAACGGGAGTGGCGGACGGGAGGTGGTCGACGGGACGGGCGACGGGAGGGCGGACGGGAGGGCGGGACGGGAGGGCGGACGGGAGGGCGCACGGGAGGGCGGACGGGAAGGGCGACGGAGGGCGGACGGGAGGGCGGGCACGGGAGGGCGGAGGAGGGCGGACGGGAGGGCGGACGGGAGGGCGGACGGGAGGGCGGACCGGGAGGGGGGCGGACGGGGAGGGGCCGGACGGGAGGGCGGACGGGAGGGCGGACGGCGAGGGCGGACGGGAGGGCGTGGGACGGGAGGGGCGGACGGGAGGGCGGCGGGCAGGGCGGACGGGAGGGCGGACGGGAGGGTCGGAACGGGAGGCGGACGGGAGGGCGGACGGGAGGGCGGACGGGAGGGCGGACCGGGAGGGCGGACGGGAGGGCGGACGGGAGGGCGGACGGGAGGGCGGCGACGGAGGGCTGGACGGGAGGGCGGACTGGGAGGGCGGACGGGAGGGCGGACGGGGAGGGGCGGACGGAGGGGGGAAGGGGGGCGGAGGGAGGGCGGACGGGAGGGCGGACGGGAGTGCGGGACGGGAGGGCGACGGGAGGGCGGACTGGGAGGGCGGACGGGAGGGCGGACGGGAGGGCGGGACCGGGAGGGGGACCGGGAGGGCGGACGGGGAGGGCGAACGGGAGGGCGGGGACGGGAGGGCGGACGGGAGGGCGGACGGGAGGGCGGAACGGGCGGGCGGACCGGGAGGCGCGGACGGGGAGGGCGGACGGGAGGGCGGACGGGAGGGCGGACGGACGGACAGAGAGGAGATCGTGTTTTGCACTTAGGCGATTTTAGGAAGTAATTTGCTACCCAAAGGAACGAGATTTATTCCCCTTCAAGAAGAGATCCTTGCAATACGAGTTATTTCTGTCGAAAATCGACGTTTTCCTCCGGCCTCCTTTCGGGCGGAAGTTTCTTGTTACGTTGTCGGCGAATGGCACTCGTTTTTTCTTTTTCGAAACCAGGTGCTGATGTTTTTATCAAAACAGCAAATCTCGTTCTATTTGCTTTTGTACTGTTAAACTCTTCGATTGTGTTTTTAGTTGTGTATGTCCGACTAGAAAGTAATAAGTTTGAAAATTTATTAAGAACCACGTTGTTTTAAGCTAATCCAAAGCGTATATATGTTAATTCTCTTGTTATATCACTTGTGGTGTTGGTTTAGATCAGCGTTTCTTAAATTTGTGTTCCGCGGAATCCCGGGGTGTCGTGAAGATTATTTAAGATTTCGCAAAATTACGTTCTTGCCTACCTAAAGTATCCAAAACACTGTGTCGAGAATATTTTGTTGTTGAAGCCACAAAAAACGGAAAATGAAAAAGCAATTGAGGCCTCATACTTTGCTAGCAGATAGCTCAACGCGGTGAAGCCTACTCAAGTTTAGAAAACCTTATTTAAACTTCCGCTATGGGAATGACAAAATGTATGTTAGATGGCAAATCAGCCAAAGAAGCGGCTACGATGCTTGAATGACACGGTAGTTCAGGACATCAAAGATTAACCAATACAAATAAAGAACAAACTTTTCTTCTTAAATCATATAAGTTTTCATTAAAAATGTATGAACCTACTGATACAGTCAGACTCGCAATATTTGTTCGTTACACATGAGCAAGAAAACGTATTATTGGAGGATCTTCTGTTGTGTAAAACTCTATGAACACCTTCTATTGAAAGGAAAATATTTCATCTCTATTCTCTTCTTGGAGAGAATCAAATATCTTGGGACAGCTATATTCATTACTCTCCCGAGAGAGCAAAGACTATGAGGGTCAACAACAATGGAACTGTAGAGCGTATTAAATATTTCGTCTAAACATTTCTAGTAGCAACTGCATGATACAAAGTTAGAAAATCGCTGCAAAAAATTGTTTCTCAGTTATAAAATTGCTTTTGATGACGTTGTCAGAATGATAAATCACGTAAAAACCCTGCCACCATAAAAATCGTTTGTTTTCAAAATGCTATAAGAGAGTGTGAGAAGTGAACGTACATCACCACTGGAGGCCGGTGGATACCTGTAGTCAAGATACTAACGCACATTTTTGTGCTAAAGTACGAGGTACGGGCTTTTCTTAGAAAATAATTTCGAATTGAATTCTTCGATTATTTCACAAAAATTGGCTGTTTAGAATTCCATATGTAAGCGATAATTTAACAAAAATTAATGAACTTACTTTAATCCTTCAGGGCAAAAAAGTAAATGTGTTTATTGCCACCAAAAAAATCTTGCTATTAAGTATAAGATGAAAATTGGTATAATTTGTGAGAGCGCCAAGGCATTTGATTACTTCTCTACAATAACTAATGGTGCACCAATTTTTGTGTTTGTTTAAAGAAAACATTTGGAGGATTTTTTAGAAAATATATTAATTCCAGTAACTTCAATCGAAATTTATTTACCCTCTATCGAGAAAAGCCCAACTGCAAATGGGCATAACCCGGTGGCAACTAATTACATAATTAAGATAATACAGCTAACATACAAATTATATTATAATCATAATATAAACATTAATAATAAAAATAATAATGATATAAAAACTGTCTAATTCATAAAGCATTAAATTACCTTGTAAAAGAAACATCTATAATCTAACTCCGCAGTGAATTTTTGTTCAATTGAGACCCCACTGCATTTCATTTCACTTCACTCCACGTCACTATTACCCTTTAATCACTCCCTTCATTATTTCTCTGTTCTACACTGTACGACACCTCACTTCACAATATATTACTTACGCATCGCTCTAAAATCTACTATTCTCAGTTAAGTCCCTCATTTACTTAGTAGTACCCTAAATTAATTTAGGGTACTGTTAGGTAAACTGTTGAACGCTACGAGGAAAGGGTTCAAAGGTTTTTGCAGGCAATCTATTACATTCCGTTATTGTTCGGTTTGTGAAAGAAAATTTCCCGACATCCGTCCTCTGCGATCTTAAATTTATTTTGCACCTGTGAACCCCCTACTGATGTATGTAGGAATACTTAAACGCCGACTAATTTCATTCCAAGCTTGATTACCACTATAAGGTTTATACAAAGCTTGCTACTGACTGCCTGTTTTTGAGTGAATCCAATCTTGTCATTTTCCAGTCCCTGAAATAATTTTGTGCGGATCCCAACAAATTGTACCATATTCCATTATCGGACGAACATGGATAAATAAGCAATATCCTTCGCGTTTCCTGTACTTTTTTAAGATGCGCATGACAAAGTGAAGAGATCTCCAGGCTTTCCCTACAACAACTACTACAACTACAACTACAATCTACGTGTCTTTTTCAGCTTAACTTACTATCAAAATGAATTCCTAGGTACTTGCATGAGGAAAATCTCGGAATAATGTCATCATTTAAATGGTAATTTATTTCTCTGTAATTAAAAAATAATAGTATTAAGAAATAATAATAAATAAGAAATGGAATACTAAAATTCGCAAAATACGCAAAATTTTGTTAGAATTTGGATAAACTCCTAGGTCAATCAAAAGACTGGGAAGTGCAAGAAATTGCTTTATTTGGAACAGCCCACATTTTGCGCAAAGTATTGTAGAGGCACCGACAGATTTCATATTAAGCCAAATCTTAACATCGTAATCGTGATGTAGAGTAATAATAATAATAATAATAATAATAATAATAATAATAATAATAATAATAATAATAATAATAATGCAAGTAAGTAATAGTATGCGTAGATGCATTGAAGTGAATGAGTGTGTGTGTTATTGCGTGCGTTGGAAAGACAAATGGGTACCGCTTAAGCTTCTTTGATGCTCCCAAAGATTTCAATTTAGCACGTGCACAGGAGATCTAGATAGCTCTTTGTTCTGGAATGTGCTGGCGTAGAAAAGCAGCTATGCCACCTGCCACTGAAAAATATTACTAATGAAAGTATCTTTGTGTTTTTTGCAGAATAAGGAGCGTTTTTCCTTCAGGGTTGGAAGAGGGCAAGATTCTGTTGTTTTAATCTTCAGTATGAATATCTTCCAGAGTGAATGCTATATTCCATTCATGGGGTTACAGAGGCATCTTTGGTAAGTAGTCAAAAAACTTATTGAAATTGTGGATTAATCTTATTCCCGCCCAGTACATTTGCAATGCTACCCGAAGGCTACTGTCATTTAGTGAATTACGTATATAACTAGCGGTACTACGACAACACGTTCTTAAGCACTTCAACAAAAATGAGACCTGCACCATCCTCTTAATCGTCCTTAAATTCATGCGAGAATGAAACTTACGAAAAAATTACGAGTCATTTTTTAGAATATTTCAAAATTGTTGAGGCTTGATGTAAAATACCCTGAAAAACCTTAATATCCATTTTGAATTCAGCAAGCGGTACTACGACAACACGTTCTTAAGCTCTTCATCAAAAATGATGACTGAAAGACAGAATAACAGACGGGGAGATATACACGGTTTGGCATTACTCAATTTTTCGGGATCATGGATCCACAAAACATGGATTCTGACTACAAACGTATTGGAAGTAATTTAATGCATATAGTAAATTTAATATATGGATTCCAGGGACGACAATCAGAGTTTTATTGTCAGAAAACTGCCGCACGATTACAAAACATTTTCAGTAGAGCACAAGAAATTAAAAAAAAAAAATCGCACTATTCAATATTGTAAGGTATGGGGAGATACAAAATCGAGAACGTAAAAAAATTGAAAATGAATTGTAGTAAATAATACTGTTGGATATGGTATTGCTATTTCGTCTCTACCTTTGCCTAGGCCTCTTCGTTGGCCGCAATAATGTAGCAGCCTGGGAAATGAGGCGCAGTTGATGCTACCCGCAACACATATCGCGTGCTCCTGCGGCGTGGTGTTCTGCCAATTTCAATTGACCCAAAATCGATTTTCATTTAACTCAGAATTTTCAAAAATTCCAAAGTTAATGTTTATTTCTACGGCATCCTACAACTACGCTATTGAGATTAGTTTTTTTTCATAATGATATCTATGCTTGAAAAGTATTTCTCGAGAAAGACAATGTACAATTTTTTCAAAATGTTAATATTTTTTGTATCTTTGCGAGAAACAAGGGGAATTTTAAAGATTTTCTCAAAAAGGCACACTTTTTCTTCAATTTACATCATTTCTCAGATAGAGTGATATACGCTGTTATAAATGGCGTAGCTCCAATTTTCTGTGAACGGTTTACATTTTAGATGGTTGGTTGTTAATGATTCCTGGGGCGTCAACTACTGAAATCTTTGGTCCCGTAAGTGTATTGCGTGATTTTTATTCTGGAGGAGGCTATCTAGCCCGCTGGATGGCGAGATCCGCCGCCGACCTACCGTCGGCTAGGGGGATTTCCACAACCAGATATCTCCCATCAACGGGGTACCATCCCAGCCGGGACAAGCTTTAGGCTCCCAATCGGTCTCTCGGCTTGTATACTAGTGTAGTGCATGTTAGTATACGTGTGTGTAGGGTATGAGGATAGGACACGGAAGAGGAAGGGAAGATCACGCGCGGTACGTGGCCCATTTGTTGGGGTACTGTGCCACCTACGCCAGTTGTTGATCGGAGAAACAACGGAAAACTACCGCGTTAAGCAGTTGGCCTCTAAAATTCTCCTCGAGACAGAGACTGAATTGGACTTAGCTGACAAGCTATTGTCGAAAATCTTGTCACTATCGAGACTTGAGCCAAGGATCTCCCGGTCACGGGCACTGCAATGACATTAGTGCAGTGAGCCACCTCTCCCGACTTGAATTTTCAAAAATTCAAAGGCTACAAATAATGGGAGAAATTATACGCTGTGTTGTGCCACTTGTTTTCACGTTAAATTACTCACTTTGCACGGAAAGATCTATACATAAAATAATACATACGAATTCTTAACTGTGTATTATGAATAAAAATGGAAGGTTCAAAATGCTACTTTTGCTTGTTGAATTGCTTTTGAAATCTATCCTTTTGAATATTTGGCAAGAATTCATGCATCTTTAAAATTTCGTGCTGAAAGTATCCACCATATAATTTAAACGTAGGTTTCCTTCGGTTAAAACTTTCCTTGTTCTATTCCAGCTGTGTCATGTATTTCGTTTGTGAACAAGCTTCAAATTTACTAGACGCTGTGAAGGTATTCGAACATGAGACGCAACGCTGTATTAAAAATGCAACGATATGACTCAGGCAACGACGAAAGAAATGTAGACTGAAATGTTCGTGGATTCGTTTGCATCCATGTGTCACAAAATATATTCGCCAGTAACAAGTGTACTCTTCATTTCATTCTACTGAGAAAATACTGGCAGGAGCTGTGAAGGAGTTTTAGTCGCAAGTAATATATTAAAATAAAGTCAGTAAATCTCAATGTCTGTTAACTAGTTTAATAAAAACTGACAATATTTTTCATTAAAAATAAAAATTAAATTAATTTTCAAATCGAACTTCAACAGCTCGTACATTTTGACACTCTCTTACACATTCACACACTCGCGACAGAAATCTATTATGTATTGTTGGTATTACATATCGAGTGTTTTACAAATCTATATTACACTCTCCTCTTATTTTACATTATCTAAATAAGAACGATCCTGAAGCAAATAAATTAGAAAAAAATATTAGGCATGCGATTCATTTGGAAACTTATTACTAAAATTATACTCAATAGTTCGGAGCAAATACATTTCAGAGAATGGTGAAAACAAAGAAAATCACCTCATATCGCAAATTCCATTTTTTGATCTTAATGTCTTTCTCATTCTAAACGACGTGAATGGCTCACTATTTACGCAACGTATGTAACGTTCGTATATCTGGTCTTACTCACTGATTTATTTGAATTGGATGCTGTGCAAACGTTCATAAAGGGATCTTGTAGGTCCCAAAAAAGGTCTTGCTTCTTCAACATTGGGTTAAAACGTATGTACACATCGTATGATAAAAAATAATTCCGCTACGTACCTCAATGTACAGAAGTCTGAAATATAGTTCAAGAGCGTGTCACGAAATCTAAATTTTACCTTTATAAGGTTCCACACAGTCTAGTATATAAACTCTGATAAGTGCTGGTGAAAAGAGAATGACCGGGAACATTATGTTTTGTTTAAGAACTGTGTGTATCAAGAAAACTGGCGAAGGGCATCAGCCGATGTTACTGCAGTGTCTCTCTCCGGGAGCTCCTAAGGTTCGAGTCCAGATGCTGGCAGTATTTTCGACTCTAGCTAGATAGCTGAATACAGCCGCTGTCTGAAGGAGAATTCTAGCGACCGACTGCTCTGATCTACAGTTTATCGTGGTTTCTCTGATCAACATCAGGCAAATGCGGGAACAGTACGCTAAAAAACAGTCCACGGGCCGCGCGCGTTCTTTCCTGCATCTTCCTTGCCCTATCGCCGCTCCTTACTCATACACACACTTCCACTTGCATTTATTTACACATTCACTAAATTATTACTTATGCCCGGAGACCAATCGGGAGCTTACAGCTTTAACTGGCTGTGGTGGTGCAACGATGGTTGGGGAAAATCCCCGCAAGACGACATACGTCGCTGCCGATATTAAACTGAATTGAATTAATGCCTTATTTTAATTGGCGAGACTCGGGCCATCAGGCCCGCTCTTCCGTCTGACCACGCAAATTTTGCTACGCTCCGTTTACCAACTAGCGGAGAAAGGGGGTATTTCTCGGGCGAGAAACAGGCGATTTGAATTTAGCTCAGAGGCGTCATTTAGGCTTGAGGATCCTTTACATGCAAGTAAATCTACTACCATGGGACAGCCGGCTTTACTTCCCTCCGAAGGAAGGCGTGTGAAGAATTTTTTCGTCCGCCAGCTTGGGTATAACAATCCCATACGCTAACCATTACACCATCGCCGCCGCAAACCATCGCCATCCAGTGGGGAAAGATCACAGCCACCTCCTACCATAAATGCATGCACTACTCTTACGGGTCTAATGGTTCTAGTAGTTCACACACCTGGAATCAATTAATTAATCAAGACTTGTGTTTGGAATAGTTAGGAAATAAACAAACATACTGAAAGTTCCCCAACCATCTAACTCCTAACACTCGTTATGTAATCGTAAAATACCTAGATTAAGAAAGAGAGGCTTAAACACATAATTTGCTCTAGTGAATGAACTAGAAAAGTTAGTGTCGCTAAGAGATTCAGTAATATGAACTAAAATGAGTAGAATAAATTTATAGTGTTTTTTTTTCAAATAATCAAACCCTTACTCTAGTTTTTATAGTGAACATACCATTCTAGTGCATTCATTCATTCATTCATTCATTCATTCATATAAAAAAGAATTATCGAAATATGTCAATTTGTTTTAGTTATGATGTCTGAAGTACAATCTTACATTTTGGCCAATCATTTATAAGCAGAGAAAAAATTATTTGATTTCTTAAGGCACAAAAAATAAATGTACGAGGGAAAACAAAATAGACACAAAAAACCATTCTCTTTTTTCAGGTCGACAGCCGCCTAGGTAAGCACCACCAAGAGTTGTAGATCACAAGCGGGCGAGGGAGGTGTCGAAGTCGAAGGATCAGCCCAGACCGATGACAGCGGCGCCTTACCATCTCAAGTGCGAAAAAAAACTTTTAGATTAGTTGATGGGCAAACAGAACGAACGCGATCTTCTGAATTTCAGTACATTTTCCGTTTCAATGTCAATATCATGAGGCACGTCCTAGTTGATTTATCAAAAATGACTTACACAGTTCATACACCTCAGACAAGGGCACTAACTGAAGAGAGAAAATCAACAACTAAGGAGGAGTATGTGCTACTACGAATTGAAAAACAAGACACAATAATTAACATAAATACATTTTAATTCTTCTCGATCAATGACCTGTATGCACTTTATTAACTTGTTGCATCATAAGTCTGATTTTCAAACCTCAGCTGAATGGCATTTCTTAGTTATGGTAAGGATTAGCTTACTATGTACGCTAGTATCCAGGGAACGCATCCTATATTCACGAATCCTAAAGAACTGCTCGAATAGACACAGACTAACATTAAAAAATTTTATTTTTATTTTCATTTTTAATTAAAGACGATGATAAATCCAAAATTTTAAATTCCAACAGCGAAATTTTAAATACGACTAAAAGCTGTGTCAGGAACATGCAGCATCCAGAGTCTGATTCCAATGTGTGAAAATAACATTTCTGCCAATACGTACTCTGGTTCTTCTGAAGATCGTAGAGAAGTAGTTCTGCCTAGGGATCCGCGAATACGCCGTGGAGAGGCGCTGCGACTGCCAGCGCTATGTGACCAGCGTTCACTCGCTCCGGTAAGTTGTTTCTATCTATAACTTAGGTGGTTTTTGAAGATTAACTTTCAAACTTTGAGGGTTGAAAGAATGTATATAAAGCAATTAGAGGTTTTTTTCAAACGAAAATGTTGGATTTGTTGTTATTACATTTCTTAAATGAATTTAATAATTGTTGCTATGAAATAACTAAAAATATAGAATTCTTATAGATGAACACCATAAGTTTAAAAAAATGTGTCTGACAAAACTGATGATAAATTGGTGTGCGCTCTGAAAACTGAGCATTGCAATTGCTCATTGTTAAATTATTATAGCATATATAATTTAAAAATTATATCTGATTCATATTTTGGGGCAGAGAAAAAACATACTGCAGCGTCTTAAAATTTAAAGACATCGAGGTCATGATACCTACATTTTTTCCATGGAATGGCCCAACTTCTCTTCTACAGGTTTTTTGGCGGCGATTTCCAAATCATTAGGAGTGAAATAGCCTTCCATGAAACGGGTGAATTCTTCTAAAAAGCAAAAGCAACTAAAATTTAACCCTATGAATATTCGCTTATTCATTACCTTACTAATAATACACGCCTCCAAGAGTATACAGTATATTTTCCAATATTCCGGGTAAGGGGGAGGGGTCGCACGTAAAAATTAAAACCATTGTTAATGAAGACAATTTTATTTAACAAATTTCATAGTGCGTGTGCCTAATGTCATATTATAATGCTATCAGTGCTTGATATATGGAGTAATCAGTCTTAATTTTTTTATGTTTAGAATTATTTTTCTTACTTGAGTTCTTTTTTTTACTCAAGCCCATGTCGTCATGGAAGTTAAAGTTTTCCTTTTTACAGACGTTTAGGAGAATATTAACCCCAGTATCTGTCGCTGTGGAATTCAGCGCCGAACAGCCTTGGCGACAACATCGCTCGCTCCGGCCTAGTCAGTGCAGTTACGCAGAAAGTTCACTAAGTGTGTAACAGTGAAGTACTCATTGTGTAGGGAAGTGAAGTACAATCCGCTAATATACAGTTCGCCATAAACCAACTGTCGTTTATCACTTATTATTAACGGTGAGCCCTCTTCAGAGAACTGTGACCTAGGTCACAGCCTTGCAGGACCCATGGCAACTCTATATGGCAGCGAGTGTGCCACGGACAGTTCCTCCAGAAATTCAAAATCATCATCCCGTATTCGGAGCCGTCTCGAGCTGCCACAATCAACAACTCACCGGAGCCGAAAACCTCCAAGTCGGTAACCTCTGCTCAGCAAAAGACGCAGCTAGCGGCGAAGCAGCCATTTCCGACAATAACAGTGAGTCGTTACCAATTACTAACAGTGCTAAAAGAACCTATAACTCAGGAGAAATAGACCTCCTCCAAATAAGAAATCAACCTCTGATTCAACTCCTGATTCAACAACTTCAACCTTCTTCTCAATCAACTTCTGATTCAACTCAGTATAATATACCAGCGGGAAACAGATATGTAGTGCTAGAGAAACTACCAGATCATGAGATTTGAGTTTGCCAATATCACTCCGCCCCAAGAAGACGAAAATCTAAGAATTCCTCCCATTTTTGTGAATAATATCCATAATATCTCGGAATTCAACACGTTTTCGTCATCTTCAAAAATATTCACCCAACAATTACACTATCGGAAATAACCAAAGGCCTTCAACACAAATTCCCGTACGTCATCAGTGTAACAAGACTTTATAAAAATACCGTGCCCATTCCAGTTATTGCCGCAGAATTCAACGGTAGTCGAAGTATCGAACTAGTGCTACAAATTAATCAGATCTGTAACATTAGTGTTAAACCAGAAAGAAGAAGAGGAAGAGGGCCAAAAGGTCCAGTTCAGTGTATGCGGTGCTTGAACTTTGGACACACAAAGAATAATTTTAACAATTCAATAGCGTGCATTTTCTGTGCACAGGATCATTATTCTGTTAACTGCCTTCAAAAAGACTTACCTGCAATCTGTAAAAATTGCAATGAATCGCACAGAGCTGATTTAAGATCAATAGAATGCTCATATTATAAATAACAAATAGACACCTCCTCAAATAACCCCAAATTAGGCAATAATAAAAATAGATTAAAGGCCGGTTTCACCAAACACAGAGTAAGAGTTTACTCTGGAGTAAATCATGTTTACTCGAGAGTAACTTCTTGGAGCGTTTCACCAACACTTTATTCGAGTGTAAATTGCTTACACGAGAGTAACTTTTCACCGCGAAAATCCGTCGGGTAAAGTACGGAGTAAATTCAGTTTTCAACGTGCATGTACCTCCGAAGTGTTGTTACGGCTCGACGATTACGAATGATAGTATTTGAAGACGATTCCAGCAATGATTCGGAATATTATCCACTAGTGCGAAGACAAAGGGTGCGAGAGAGATTTAATTATGACGATCGAGATTTTTGTCATGAGGTTATGTTTGACCAAATCAGCTGTTTAACTTCATCAGACACATTGTAAACTGTAGAGAACTTCTAAAGTTCTTTTTGTCCCATGTGGATACGAAATAAAGGTAGTACGTACCGAATACGACAACAAAAGGAAAAGTAATAACTACAGGAACTACAAGTACTAAGAAATATTCATTTATTTATTCAGTAAAAACTGTATGTGACGTATGGGGGAGATCATTTGCGCACGTTTTCTTGAGTTCCAGAATCCCTTTCCAACATTTTAACTAGAAATAGTTGAAAGATGAATAAAAGTTTAAAAAATAAAACAACATATAATAATAAAATTTAGAAAAACACGAGATCAGCAACATTTGAAAAACTAAACATTTTCGTTCCCTAGTTATAGAAATTTCACTTGCACCGCCATCGGTAAACGAACTGCAAATTAGATTTTTCTGCATTGCTAACAAAATAGTAACTCGTCTCCAGAGAAGAAGAATGAATATTTACTAAGAAATAAAGATACAGAAACTAGGAAATAAACTATGCTAACTCAAACCACCATAACACCACACCAGATTATAACGCCAAGAACTCCGAAACTGAAATGAATGATAGAATATAAGGAATTAATCAAAGGTTCACGTTGGTCCGCTTTGGTTCCCAGCGTCATTCTCGCTCACAGCCTCCTGAATCGCTCTCAAATATTCTGTATTCAGCTGATTTGCGGAGTAAATCGGAGAGTATGTACTTTAGAGTAAAATAATCCTCTTGAAGCATGGTGAAACGCTCATATTCTACTCGTGAGTTACTATTTTGGAGTAAATGGTTACTCTCGGGTAACTACTCTCAACTTTACTCGGCTGTTGGTGAAACCGGCCCTAAGAAACTACCAGCCTCCGAAAACAAAAATGTCTGATTCGAATATTTCAGAGCCATCCAAATGAATTCGCCCACTCTTCTGATTGGGGAACTTAATGCTAAAAACACCATATGGGGATGCAGAAATATCAATACTGCAGGGCACCAACTCAGCAAAATAATTACGGACCTCAAACTTCAATTAATTATTCCAGCAGAACCCACTCACTACCCCACATATCATAATTAACACCCAAATATATTAGATATTGCAATTTCTAACACTCAAACCACTTTTCACACAGCTCCCTTCTTTAAACTAGACTCATATCACCTGAGAACCATCATCTCAACTCAACAAATCCTCCCCTCACACTCCAATTCTCAAACTTAACACACAAAACATCCGCTGGAAAAAAATTAAGAACATAATTCAAAAACAATCACCCCAATTAAAAAAATTAAAATTTCTAGTAGAAATGGAACAAGCTATAGCCCTCTTAATCCATATGATATTTAACACAATCAACATTCTTAACAATAATGCTCACCCCCCACTATTAAGCATTTCAATAAAAAACTTCCGAAAAACATTCTCACAATTATTAACACTAGAAACAAAACAAGAAGACTTTGGTGCATCAAGAGCTCTCCACAGTTTAAGAAAGAGTTAAATTTACAGTCCAACATTGTAAAACATCACTAAGGAACATAAACAAACAACTTACAATGATTTAATCCAGTCCTTAAGCTCAAATAACACGTTGTAGTAGTTCACTAAACATATCTTGAAAACGAAAGCAATAATACCCCACTAAAAACTCCAACGGGTAAGAAATTCGCTTCTTGAAAAGGCTGAAGCATTAGCCGATCACTTTGCTAAATCATTCACTCCCAATGCCACCCCAACTCACCTACTGCATTCAACCAATCGAAATAGCATCAGCACTCAACTATAATGTACCAAACAAAATCAACTACATCTCCCCAAATGAAATCATTAATATAATTAAGAATTTGCCGTTAGAAAAAGCCGCTGGACACGACAAAATAAGCAACAAAATCTTTAAAATCTTACCTAATCCCACAATAGCATATATCACTAATATTTACAATTCAATAATTAGAACTGGCTACTTCCCCGTTATTTGGAAATATTCAAATGTAATACCCATCCCCAAGCCATTCAAGTATCTCTCCATCACTGAATACTACACACTCATAAGCCTTTTTTCCACTCTATCAAACATCCTAGAAAAATTAATTCTTAAAATACTAAATTCCCATCTGAACAAAACTCAATCCCAATGCACCAGATTGGCTTCACTAATTATGTTTCAACTTCTCATTAATGATTAACAATCACGGAGCACATACACACTGCATTTCAAAAAAAAAAAACACCATACAATAGTTACCTTTTTAGACATTTCGAAAGTGTGGCATCGTGGATTAATATTCAGACTTAAAGAAATAGGTACTTCCAACTGTCTACAACAACTAATTGATATCATAAACAGCTTTCTTCAAGATAGAACATTTTCAGTCACACATCCAATCACCAATCACACAATCCAATCACATCCAATCCCCGTAGAATTACAGCTGGATTACCTTAAGGCTCACCACTGTTCCCACGCTTTTCAACATTTACACAGCCGATATTCCCATAACATCACATACCCACATCGCCCAATTCGTCGATGACACCGCAATTTTCATGTCCAATCATTCAACTTATATAATCTGTAAACAAATTCAAACACATCTAAATAAAATTAATTAATGGTCTGTCAAATGGAAAATCAAACTCAATCCTTCAAAATCATGCGCCAATATATTCCCATTAAGAACATTTTCAACCCCAAATTAACAATCACCCAATTCCATTGACCCCACACAATGAATCTGTTCAACACTTACGGCTGAATCTTGATACCAGACTAAATTGGAAAAATCACATAACAGTAAAAGCACAGCAAACCAAAATAAAACTAATTCAGCTAAAGCCACTCTTAAATCGCAATAGTAAGCTCTCATTAAACAAAGCCATCACCATCTATAAATCGTTAATTAGACCCCTAACTAAAAAAGTCTCTATCATTAATATTGTGGGTTTCTTCACAACTTTCACAATTTTAGAATATGCAGTTTGACAATGGCACCTGCATTAAAAATGATACATTGCGCTATGCAAGGTTGAAAGTAGCCCCCAAAAAATTGAAGAAGAAAAAAAAAACTTTCAAAAATTACATATATTTCACACAAAAGTGGCAATAATTCTCATATAATCTATTGATCATACGTAACCATCATACGTAAAGTACATATTTCATTAATCTCTATCTTCAATATTGTTAGTATTTAGGGAGAGGTAGGCGAGAAAGTAAAATGAATGCGTCCCAGTAATGAAGCGACCTGGTAAATAAGGCGCAGGTGATGCCACCCGCGACACACACGTGTCGCGCGCACCGGACGCGGACAGGTTTGCCAATTGTGCGTGAATCGAGTTGAACTCTCATTGTTTTCACATTCGAGAGGTTCAGAGAAGGCATTTTATTTTCGCATACTAGTTACACGTTCTCGTACTCGTATCTAGTATAGACGTCTTATCAGCGTCTGACAGATAAATGTACTTTCAAGAACAAGAAAATGTCAGGATGGGATTCACTCGAAAACCGGCGATCAGTAGCAAGACTCTGCGCTTTGTACAAAGATTATAGCTGTAATCAAATTTGGAAAAAAAATTATTCGGCGACTAAGTATTCCTACATACAGCAGTAGAGGGGGATTACACGCACAAATTAAATTTAAGATCGCAGAGAACGGATGGCGGAAAATTTTGTTTCACAAATCGAACGATAACGCAATGGAATAGATTGCCTGAAAATTCCTTTTAACCCTTTCCTCGAAGCGTTCAACAGTTTAGGAAATTAATTTACGGTATTACGATGTAACTGAGGGAACTAACTAAAATTAGTAGAGTATAGAGCGTTGCATAAGTGATATATCATGAAGTGAGGTGTGCAGTGTAGAACAGAGAAATAATAAAGGAAGTGATTTAAGGGTCATAATGAAGTAAAGTGAGGTGCAGTGCCAGTGCAGTGTGATCTTAATTAAACAAACATTTACTGTTATATTATATTTTTTAAGGTAATTTAATGTTTTATAAATCAGCTAGTTTTAAAAAATTATTATTATTATTATTATTATTATTATTATTATTATTATTATTATTATTATTATTATTGTTGTTGTTGTTGTTGTTTTTGTTGTTAGTATTTTCATGTTAGTTATATTATCTTATTTATGTAATTAGCTACCACCGGGTTATACCCATCTGCAGTTTAAATAAATTTATATTATCTTATATAGAAAGTTATATAATGTTAATGCTGCAGCAAAATACGTGGGATTTTCGAGTAAAAAAATATTGTTGGTCCAGAGAAAATCAATAATTTTTGTTTCGTTGTGTAGTAAATATCTTCCTCTAACACTTTGTTTTGTCAGTAGCTACACTTTCTACAGTTCTTAATGTGGAAATAGTAGCTTATGCAATTAGTTGATAATGCACGCTTGTTACATTATCAAATAAAAAATTAAACATTTACTATAAATGAGTTGATGAAAAGAAAAATTAAATTATTCCATTAACTTCAACCTTCGGTAAATTGAAAGTATTCTACGTTTTTGCCAAAAAACAGTGCCATACAGTAGTAAGTACAGTTAAACAATACACATTTTTTGAAGTAGTACGTAGTAAGTTATTAGAACAGACGATGTTATAAATTAATTTCATACCACATGGCATGTAATATGTCCATTTATATTTTTGTATATGTACTTTTTGGGTTTACAGAAGTACTATTAGAAGAATTGACTTTCGTTAGAGGGAAATAAATTTAAGAAATAATAGTACTTAACGTGATGTCTTAATTACGTACAAAACTCATTGAGTAAAACATTTCAATAGTCTACCCCTTAAGAATTTCACGGATTAATACGAGTATAATAGTAAGGAATATGTATAAGAAATTAATATTGAGAATTACTGAATTATATTTTAGAGGTCAGTTTGGTCAAACTGAAAGAGGAAAAAAAAATTCCAAGCGAAAGGAGAAAGCTTTGACAATGACATAACCATTTTCTATTGGCCAGGACGTACAGTTGAAAGAGAAGGTTGACGATCGTTGAATTATATTTTCTTTGTCCTGTTCCTCGAATGGGTGGTGACGTTGAACGCCCTGTTGACCACTGTGAGGTTTTCTTTAGCTTCGTTACGTACGCAGGTGGTGGCGGTGGAAAGGCCGAGAGCATAAGGATGCCTTCTGAGTGGGCGACATGGCGGAGAGCTACACAAGCAAGCGCGGGGACCCGAAGAACTTGCAGAGGTGGGTGCGAGGGGGATGGAGCGAGGACAATGGACCCGCGCCGCGGGTGTCGTAGGAGCGGGGTTGACGTCACCCTTGGGAACAGGATGAGATAGCTCCCAACAACTCCTGCGACTGCAGGGACTGTGACCGGGACGTCTAGTATTGGAGTCCTAATGGTGGCGCATTTTTGTCACTGGTTAGGGTTGGGAAATTGTAGACAGAAATCTAAGATTTTCGCCCAGGGATAGTCTTAATGTGTTCCAGGGCCCTTTTCTCTGACATCACATATGGCAAAACTTGCATCTTTTATAGTTCCATTTTCAGAAGTGCTTTCATTGAGTCAAAAATTACGTAAATTACGATTGGCGTAAATTTATTGTAGTAAACAGAGAAAAACCTTTTCTTGTATATCAGCAAACGACCTTTTCTGTTGCAAGAAATCGTTATTAAAAGGATATTTTACGGCGATTTTACAAAAGATGACGTACCAGCATTTGAGGGGACGAATGATTGCGTCATCACACATCCAGCAAATCGTATAAATGTGGAAATATTTTCCCCAATTTTCGAAACCTGGGCCCGGAATGTGAGGTTTTCTGCCGAAAAATCGCCGATTTCTGTCGCACAACTACAGTACTTTCTCTTACAGGACGGATGTAAGCCGTTGTCTTCAAGACAATTCCAATGGAGGCCTGCTCTGATTGGTAGTTTTCCGTGATTTCTAGAATTAATACCAGACGAATGCCCGAGCAAACAAATATGCCACAATACGCACCCAATTTTTCTTGCTCATTATTGTCCTCTCCTCTTCCCGTACATGCAAAACACTAGCACACATGTCAGGAAACCAGTCGCGAGCTTAGTGCTATTCTCGTTGAGGCGGCGCCCCATTGGCGCACATTCTTTGAGGCAGTTGGGAATTCCTGCTAGCTGATGTATAGGTTGACGCTGGATCTCACATTTCAGCAAGGAGCACAAACCGCAACTTTCTGACATGATCAATCAATCAAACCGCCACCGCCGCCACCACCAAACCGGCCAACCGCCGCCTCTGCCTCCTCCACCGCCGCCCTCCACCACCACCCGCCATACCGGCAGGCGCGCCTCCACCGGCGCGACCACTACCGCGAAAACACCTCGCCACCACCGCCACTTGCCGCAAACGCGACCTCTGCCTCCTCCTCCTCCACAGGCCGCCGCCGCCGCCCCATGCCACTCGCGCTACCGCCAGCGCTGCCCTCCACTGTCGCGACCGCCCCTCCCGCCTCCGATTTCGCCACCTCCACCACCTTGACCCGCCGCCCACGCGGAACCGCGCGGTGGGCTTCGGACGCGTCGCTGGCCGAGACGCACCTGGCCAGTGGGAAGTCGCGTCCGCCGGCCGCTGCGCTCATTCCCTCGCGAGGAGTTCCTCGAGCAGCAGCGCGCCACCGCGACCGCCGGCGACCAGCCCCCCAGCCCTGCGCCGTTCGCCCACGCCGCTCCCTGCTCTGCCTGCGCTCGTCTGGGTGGTGAGTACGCGCACGCGGACGGATTGCCTCTGCGCATTTTCTTTCGGGTCCCTTTTACGGCGCACATTTGTGCCCTCTTAAATGTCGCTGACTGCCAGTGTCTTCTTGTGTGTGGGGTGTTTTTCCAACTTCCCCTTCTTGGACTTCCTCCTTTGCAAAGCGACAACAAGCTCTTGTGACGTCAAACACTGATTTTTTTATTTTGTAGGTGTATCTAAAATCGTTATTTTGGACATTTCATCGCGTGAAACCGTTTTATCGAACTTTCCTTTGTTTTCCATTTGTTTGGTTAAACAAATCCGTGCGGAAACGTTTCTTTCAAGTGGTTGAACAAAAAGTATTACTATAATATCTCAATAATAATATTTATTTTTTTCATTTTTATGCGACATACTTTATTTTTGTTTGCCATTTATGTTGGAAATGTTGTGTTGCAGCCAATTTCCTTTTATTGCTTTCGTCGACTGTTTTTAATTGCATCTTCATATTAAATTTGAGAACGCATATTACAGAAATATGCAAAACCACTGTACTTCTTCATATACGGCTACGTTCTATCACAGATCAATTATTTGAATGTTAGTGTAGAAAAAATTCTTTTCAACTTTCTTGATGCTGGTGAAATGAGAAAAAGTGCTAGAAAAATATGTTTCAGTTAAAACAAGTTCCAAAAGTCTTGAAAAAAGCAGTGATTTTAAACAAACATGTGCACAGGTGTTACTGTACACAATACTTATTTGAAAGCCAGTAGTAATTTAAATGGTAAAATTTTATGAAAGATTATTTTTCAGGTACTTGCAATATTTAAAAAAATGCCCGTTTATGAGATATCTCGTTTGAAATAATTTAAAATATAACGTTTTCATTTCTCACCAGTATTATGGTTTTCCCATACTTCCTTTGAAATTAAAAAACTCAAGTGAAAACAACTACATCGGTCACGGATGTCACGTGACGGTTTCATCATTTCCCCGAACCCAATTGTTTCTATTGAGGAGGAAATTTGTTTGGCAAAACCAACAGATCATATTTCTATTCTTCGTATTCTCTCGATATGAATGTGAGGATTCATGTTTTCTTCGTAGAGTTTCGACCCCTATATCATTTAGTAAATTTCGCCCCCTTGAAATCATCGTTGTTTAGCCTGAATGGTTTGTAATACCACACAGAAATTGTAAAAGAAAATACTATCCAATGTCTGTGTTCACTAACGTATTCTTGCCACAAAATAGTATTATGTATCTTTAATGGAGATCTGAAATGCATTAGAATTAGTATCAGATTTAATAGAAATTTCATATATTTCAATGCACTTACTATGTCTTTTATACATAGTGTAAACCTCAATGCATAATTCAAATTCAATGCGTTGCGTACATTTTCGTTCCTCCATGTTCCACTCCTAAA